CTCGCGGCCCGCTTAGCTTCGACCGGATGAGGTGCGCTCTCGACCCGCGGATCCAACAAAAAAAATGTTTCGTTGCATCCACGGGGAAGCGGGGGAAGAAGGTATACACCACACCACCCCGACGTCGCCCCCGACCCTCAAAGTCCTGGGACTGAGAAAACGGCCCGCCGCTGGTAGTGTATGTAGATGCTCCAGTTTCCGACATGACCAAGATCGCATCGACAAGATCTTAGCGGCGCGCAGAATGGGGTAGGGGGAGGGGGGAAGGCTTCTTAGAAGGGGGCTGCTTCTTAGAAGGCGCTGGCCTCACATGTATATAGAGAAGGCCCGCGCCTTCTAAGAAGCAAGGGTGCTTCTAAGAAGCCTTCCCACCTCACCCCACACCCCCCTCAGCGCGTGGCCGAAGATCCCGACATCTTGGTCATGGTCCCCCGTGCGCCTGCCCTCGAGCATCGGCACTGAAAGCAGAAACAAAGGACTACCCAGCAGACCACCCCAAAACCTAACCCGAAGACCCCCATTCTCGTGCTGGGCGGGGTACGGGGTTCCCACACGTGTCCGACCTAGACCTGGGCGGAAGGAGCGGCCCGGGAACCGGAGCCCCCCCCGAGCCAAAAAAAGTGGTCCTTACCTCCGCACCTTGTGATGGCACCGTCGCCACTGTGCCGCACCACGCTGGGCCTCCGCTCGGGCCCCGCTGCAGCCCGGCACCGTGCATTGGCCTTTCGGCCCCCGGGCCGACCAGCTGTGCACTATGCGCACCGCACCAGCCCCGTGTCCGATGCAGTACGGTGCACACAGATCGTCCGTGGACGATTGCTGCGGAGGCAGAGACCACACGAATGGGCCAACGAACAAGAGTTCCCCCAAAAGGAATCAGGATTAAGCGGGACGAAATCGGACCCAAACATCGGACGTCGCGTTTTTTTCCCAAAACGTGGCTCCCCAGAGGCCTGGACCTCGTCCAAGGGGACCGGCGTTTCATCCTGAATCATAAGTTCTAAGGTCTTCACTTCTCTCACAAACTCTTCACTCCACGAAGATGTCAAAGGACTGAGCGGGATTCTGCCGGATTGAGACAGCTTCGACAGAAGATGTACCAATGCCGACGCTGAACTCACCTCCCACCTCTTGCAAGATATTGTTTCCTTCATCTGCTCCGGCAAGGGTCGTTACCTGGGGGGGGGGTCGGGCCCATGGCCAACGGCAACGCTTGAACGGGGTGGGGGCGCGTCGAGGGGGGGGGGCGCTGCGACCGCTGCATCATGCGCGCGAGCACGAGCATGTGGGAGGGGGTGTGCAGGCCCCCTCCCTTCGGGCGGGCGCCACTGGGGGGTGGCCCAGACGAGGGGTGAAGACGAGGGCCCGGAAGGGACACTTCAGGGGCCAACTGGGAGCCAGCAAACGCCCGAAAGCGGCCCCAAAATGCCCCCTTTTGGGGCACCCCCCAATGTGAGCCACCATCACCACCCGCCTGGCCCCCCTGCGTACGAGCGTCACCCTTTCCTGGGCGGGGCGGGGCTGGCCCGGGCAACGATCGTCACGCGCCCGAGAATGCCCCGTCCCCACGGGCCAGAGGCGTGCTAAAATCTCTGGTGATGACTACCTACCAGACCACCCCAACCCAACCCGAAGACCCGAATTTCGGGTTGGGGGGGGTAAGGGCTCCACATGTGTTTTTTCCATGTTTCCCGACCCCCCCCCACTGGAAATCGAGGGTAAATTTGAGCCTTCGGGTTGGGTTGGGGTGGTTTGGTGGGTGGCGAGGTGAGGACTTAAGGATGTTTCTGGTTCGCGCGCGCGTGACGGCCCCTGGGGGCCAGCGGACGAAAAGTACGCTGGCAAGGCCCCAGCAAGGTCACGGCAATGCCGGAACTCCTGGGCGCGGCCTCGGGTGCCCCCCCGAGGGCCCCAATGAGGCGCAAAAGAGTGGCACGTCCCACGGCCTCAGGCCAAAGAGCGTTCCAGGACGGCCCACGTTGATCCCAAGACGGCCCAAGAAGTGCACAAGACGCTCCAGAAAGGTTCCAAGAGGACTTCGAGAGGCCCCGAAGACGCAAGTCATTGGATTTTGCCAGGGTTTTCGAAAGATTTGGGCAGTACCACCTTCTCGAGCTGGCCCTGGACGGCCCAAGAGGCCCAAAGATCGCCCCAAAACGGTACAAACGGCTTCCAAGCGGGCCCCCAAAAGGCCCAAGATGGCCCAAGATGGCCCTAAGACGGCCAAAGAGGCCTGCAAGACGGCCCCAGGATGGCCCCGAGAAGGAGCCCCGAGGGGGAACCCGAACAGGCATTTCGAGCTCTCCGCCCCAAGAGGCGCCCAGGAAGCCCACAGAGGCCCCCGAAGGGCCCCCCAAGAGGCCCCAAGAGGTCAGAGACCCCAAAAGAAGCTCCCAAGACCCCCCACAGGCCCAGAAGAAGCCCCAAGAGGCCCCTAAGAAGCACCCAAGAGGCTCCCCAAAGGCAACCAAACTGCTGAAGCCGTCCTGCCGCCAGCCAGGATGCTTCTCGATGGCCTTCGCCGAAAGAAAGACAAATACATGTCCGAGCGATGCCAAGAACTGGATACGACCAAAATGGGCACGATACCCAACTGACGTTGTTTGGCAGGCGACCTTTCGTCTACAGCTGACTACGTTCGCGGCGACGCCGACAGCGAACCCTCTTCAACATGGGCAGGAATTGCCGTCCGTGTTCGTCACCACTTTTCCCGAACCCACTTCGACCGTACCGACGATCGTCCTCCTCTAGGTGGCGTTTACGAGGAGGGCGTCTAACAGGTGATGGTGTCGCAAATCATGACCCGAGGGGTCTCCGCGGCCCCAAAGGGGTTGGGGAACCATGACATCTCGGGAGATGCCATGGTCCCCGCCAAGATATTGCCCCCCCCGCCCCCTCCCTAGTCATCACCCCGGTCGTGGACGGCCCCGATCCGATCTTCGCCACCATTCTTTCCGCACCCATTTCGATAGTAGTAACCAGGAGGGGCGACAAACGGAGGTTCGCACGGCTTTCTTGGATCTGAGCTGGAGCCCCCTCCCTGGCGCGCTCCGCGAGCCAGGGGCGCCGCCAGAGGCGCCGCCAGGGGGGCCCCAACACAAATCGAAATCGAAATAATCCGCGCGGACCGTCAAACATTCAATTATACTTATGCAGCTCTTGTGCTTCGATGGCCATCGTTAGGTCGGGCGTGTCCTCCTACAGGCGGACTTTGGACGATTTTGGACGAATACTCAAAGATAGTCCAAAGACAATCAAACAACTATTCAACAATACCCAGAAGATCGTCCCCAGACTATGTCTTGACTGCGTTTGAATATCCCTCATGTAGTGGAACATGCCCGACTTAAAACTGTCGTCCTCCTCGTGATCGTCCTCGCCCGCCGTGCCGTGCCGTGCCGTGCCGGGGCTCCGCACCGGGGGGGGGGGCGCGCGCGGGCGTCGCGCCCCAGGGAGTTGCGCATCCTCAGCAGGTCCTGAAGAGGAGGGCGCACAGGGGGAGGAGGAGGAGGAGGAGGAGGAGGAGGAGGAGGAGGAGGAGGAGGAGGAGGAGGAGGAGGAGGAGGAGGGAGGAGAGGAGGAGGGGAGGAGGAGGAAGGAGAGAGAGGAGGGAGGAAGGAAACCGAGGAGGCGAGGAGGAGGAGGGAGAGGATCGAGAGGAGGAGGAGGAGGAGGAGGAGGAGGAGCAGGGGGACGTCGTCGTCGGACGCAGGCATGACGCAGGCATGACGCTGGGTGCAGCTGGGGAGGAGGACGAGGGAGGAGGGGGACCCATGCCCCCTCGACGCGCGAAGGAGTGACGACGGGTGGCTTTGAGAATAGCTTGGGAACGCTCCTCGAGCCCTGCTCGGAGCGTCTGAGGGCCTTCTTGTCGCCTCTTGGGTCGTCTCGCAGGGCCTCCGAGGATCCAGGAAGAGCGAAGAGGTGCTGAGAACGGGCCTGGGATACCACGGACTGGGGTCGACCCGTGATAGGGGCCACCGAAACGGCCTCCGAAGGCGCCAGACGGCTCCGAGGACACGCCTACATATATATATATATATATATATATATACAAGACTGCAGTGGCGCTTCGCGCCATGCACCTTGGTCCTTGAAGCTTGGCATGCTGGTGGAATAACAGGAAGGCCAAGCCGACAATTTAACGATAACTCCTTCTTGCCTTTTCCGGCATCGCCGCTATAATAATGTTATCCGTTATCACTCCTCCATGTTTTTTTTTCCTCATTTTCGCCATACCCTGCGCATTCTCCCCATCCTCCTCAGCTCTTTTTTGCGGAGGCTCCTCCTTGGAGAGCCTCTGGGGGCCTCACAAAAATTGTTTCAGGCTTCCTTAAGGCCTTCTGGAGGACTCCTGGGCGTATTCTGGGGGCCTCTGGGGGCTTCCTCGGGCCACCCTGCCTCCAACCGCGGTCTCGCTGAACGACCGGGTCACGATATGGAATGCTTCGGAGGGTGTCTTGGGGCCATCTTGGGCCGCCACGGGGCTCTCCGAGGGCCAGTTTGGACCCGCTCTCTTGGACTGCCTGGAAGCCCTTTCGGATGGTTGTGGGGCGATTTTGGAACCTCCCAGGCGGCTTCGGACGCCCAGAAGATCGACGTTTTGGAGCGTCGGGAAGCCGAAAAGAGGAGAGCCCCAAAATTCATCAAAAAACACCAGAAAATCAATGTTTGATGCCTCTTGGGGCCTTCTTGGGAGTGCTCTTGGAGGCCTCTTTGGGGCAGTCCTGGGGGCCTCTCGGGCCATCTTTTTTTTTCATATTCGAGCGCACAGGAGCGAGGGCTCGAGCCGGCCTTGGCCAGCTCACACGAGCGGGTTGAAACGCTCGCGGCCCCAACGAGAGGACGGGGAGGAGGGGAAAAGGATGCGAGCAAAAACGGGCCCCGCAATCCCCGTAGGGATGGCCTACCCAACCGACGGAACCGCCGATGACAGTGGCCGCTGCTGGGAACAGCGCTCGAAATTATGGTGATAGGTAGCGACCACAACACCGTCATGGTCAGGCGAGGCTTGCTACTGCGACCGAAGCCACCTCTGGGCCTCTGCCGCCGCGCGTTCCAGCGACGAGGGCCAGGCGCTGCGCGCATGAATCTGGCGCAGCGCTCACGTCTCCGTGATCGTCTTCGCCCAGTAACCCTCCGACTGCGAATCCCGCTCGCCCCAAGTGCTTCACGTACAAGTTCAGGTACAGGAGGCCGCTGTCCGTACGTCCATGCACGACTTTGAGCTCGACCTTGCCGAAGGCAACCCATTCCGGACCCTTGGCGTCATGCTGCGATACGCTGTAGTGGTAGCCTCCGGCTTGCTTGACCTCTGCCCACGACCCGGTAACGTTGAGCTGCTGGAAGTACATGTCCGCGCATTGTCCACCCAAGCGGCGCGCAGCGGCCTGCACGCGAAGCAAGGCGTTTTCAGCACTCATTCCACGAGGTACGTTGATCAGAACATGCTTGCCCGCCTGCATCAGGTCGAACCGCTCGCCATGGATGTTTTGCAGGTGCGGGTCGCCAACGGCCGAAGCCCCGGCGCCTGGAGACTGTTCTTTTATCCAGGGGAGGTAACGCATGTTACCTGGGGGGGGAGGGGGGGCAGGGGGGGAGGTAACGGTAACGGCGGCCGCGGCGTGCACCCCACCCCCCAAGGCACGCCTGCTGCACCGGCGCGCCAAGCGCCTGTGCAGCGCCGGTGTACACCACGGCGCCCGCGTACACTACAGCAGCCGTGTGCGCCGAATACCAAAACGCCTGCGCACGCCACAAAAACCGCGTGCACCACAGCGCCTGCGCACACCGCGTTGCCTGCGTACACCACAGCAGCCGCGTGCACCATAGCGCCTGTGCACCACAACGTGTGCACGACAGCGCCTGTGCTGACAATACATACTCCTCCCTCCCCCCTTCCGCCGCCCCTCCCTTTACTCCCTCCTTCCCTTTCCCTCTGGCCCCCATCCTCCTCCTCCTCGTCCTCCTCCTCCTCCTCCTCCTTCTCCTCCTCCCCATCCTCCTTCTCCTCCTCTGTTATCCTTCTGTTGCGCCACAGCGCCTGTGTACACCACAGCGCCAGTGCATGCCATCAGCCGCGTGCACCACATTGCGTGCGCACACCACACTGCGTACACCGCAATGCCCGCGTGCACCGCGGCAACCGCGTGCACCGCAGCGCTTGTGCACACCACAGTGCCTGCGCGCACGGGGGAGAGGGAGGGGCGCCGTCGTCGTCGGCGACGACGACGACGGGATTTTGCTTTCCGGTGCGTTTTGTTTTGGCGTTGTTTGGTCCGTCTGGGCCTGCGGAGGCCTCTGGGGAACTCCAGAGGCGCCTCCGGTGGTCCCCGGAGGTCCCCAGAGGCGCCTCTGGGGACCTCCAGAGGCCTCTGGGGACCTCCACAGACGTAGAACTGCGACGCCGACGACGACGACGACGACGGGCATTGGCCCCACCCCCAGTGACGGGCAACCGACGACGAAGACGACGACGACGGGGGAGAGGGAGAGGGGAGGGAAGGAGTCGAGGAAGAACAAACTTCATGAACATAAACTTTCGGATGTCCGCGCGGGTTTCTAGGACCGGCGCTGGACCCCCCTTGCGGCGCCTCTGGCGCCGCCCCTAGCGCGCTCCGCGCGCCGGAGGGCCGGGTCCAGCGCCGATCCGACAAATCCACGCAGACCTCCGAACGTTCGCGTGCACGTCGATGCCTGTGTACACCGAATGTACACCGCCAGCTGCTGCAGCGGCGCCAGCAGCAACCACGTGCCCAACAACGACCCCGTGCCTGCGTGCACCACAATGCCTGCGCACCTCCGGAGGTTTTTGGGCCACGTCGGTCGTCGTCGTTGTCCTCCTCCCCCCCTCCTCCGCCGACCCCCTCCTCCTCCCCCGCTCCCCCTCCACAACCTCCCTCCTCCTCCTCCTCCTCCTCCTCCTCCTCCTCCTCCTCCTCCTCCTCCTCCCCCTCCTCCCTCCCCCTGCCCCTCCTCCGATGGAAACTGCAAAGGTTCACGCCTGTGGCCGGTTCCCCGGCGTTACCGTTACCTGGGGGGGGGGGGGCGGGGGGGGGGTAACATGCGTTACCTCCCCAGGTGATAAAAGAACAGCCACCTGCGCCGCTCGCTGGAGGTGGCGTTGCCGGCGTCGGCGCAGCGGTTGGATTAGGCAGCCCACTACAATAACAGAATGGTGCGTCTGTCGTCTTTCCCCAAGAATGTTGGCAATGATCTTGCACCCCCGACACGGTGTAATCGAAATAGCAGGGACCGTGCGAAGGGCGCGAACGGTACCAAGCGCGGAGACCACTCCAAGCGTGCCCGTTCCCATCTGAATACCCGATGCACTTCGCCCCTGCGTATCCTCCCGAATCGGCTGCAAGTCCGCTTTGGGTGGAAAGCATATCCAGACTTTCGGCGATTGATTCCATCTCTGCTTGGGTGCTTATCACTCTGTCTTCGCAAGTAAGGCCCAAAGTTGCACAGAACGAAGCGCAACTCGTCGACGTGGGCCCAGCGTACCACGAACCCGTCGGAGCTGGTGTCGGAGCTGGCGTCGGAGCTGCCGTTGGAGCCGGCGTCGGTGGCTGGAGCTGCCCCGCGGCACCGGAAGCTCCACGAGCATACAACTCGTCGACATCGCTTTGACCCAGGATGCTGCTCCACACGCGAACGGCTGATACCGAGATGTCGGTGTTGTATTGCCAGTCTCCTGCGAAACGATTGCCGATTAAGAAATAATTTCCTTGCTCATTTTTTGTCACGGGTTCAGGCCCATATTGTACTCCATTGACATATAAGTACGCGTAATTGCCCTGGTCCCAGGTGCCCACCAAATGTGTCCACGTCTGCAACGGCATATTGATGTTCGATCCCCATCCGGCATGGCCCACACATAACGAGATCCCATGAAAACGAATGTCGTGGAGGACAATACTGCGGTCGTAACCTCCGCCCTCGTCCGGGCCAGATGCCCACCCGACGTATCCATCCTTGCTGTGCATGTACACCCACATCTCGATTGTCAGCTGCGGCTTAGCCGCTGGCCCGATATTCAAACCGTTTACTCGTGCAGTATCGCTACTTCCTCTGACATCTACAGCAACGACACCGCCAACGTCGTCGTTCTTGGCGGCATTGCCAGAAAACGACGCGATCAGTCCTCCCACGGTGGATGGCCAGGTCGTGGCCGTGGCGTCAGAAGCGACAAGCTCCAGCTCCAGAGTACCGCTGGCCGGGACTGCGCGGAAGGCGTCTTGCGTGGCCACCTGCAGCCCCAGGGAGGCTGCGGTGGGTATGCCCTGGGCGAACAGTGCCACCCAGCATGCGGTCCATGGGGACGTCCAGGTCGCAGCCGCGGCGCCGCCGACCAGGCTGGCCATCAACAAGAAACGCGCCATCTGCGAATCAAGGGAGCCAATCAGAGGTTGTAAGATGTGAGATGTTCTTAGAGACGCGGAGTCTCAGAGTGTAGGTGTTTCAGCTTTAAGCGTTTTGCTCAGGCCCGAGTAGAGCCAAACGGTCTTGAGCCAAAATGGTTACGGAGGGCCTCTCGGGCCATCTTGAGGTCACGTCGGTCACTCTTGGAGCACTCTTGTGCTGTCTTGGGGGTCCCTGGGACGTCTCCGATGACCCCCCTGATCGCCCTAGGTGCGCTGGGAAGGCTTGGCAAAACGCCCTGCGAGGCCCGGGAACCATTTCAAGGCCCGTCCGGAGGGTCCCAAAACCCCAGATCCCGGGAGTCCGGTTTAGGGGGGGGGGGGATGGGTTTTCCCCCCGCCCGGGCTTATAAAAATATAGGAAGAGGAATCTATGAAAGTAGCAATACATAATAACACAATATACTAACCACAACAATAATTGAATGTAATATAACCGTAATAACAGTGTAAAATCTAAGTATCCCAGTGCGACCTTACCTAGGAGTTGGAGGATCTAGGAAAGCAACACCTAACATCTATATGACGCTAAGCTAAGCTAAGATGAAGCTAAGCTAAGATGAAATAAGATAAGCTGAGATGAGATAAGCAACGCGAAGCTAAGGGAACGTCACAAGGGGAACCGCGGGGCGGATGCCGGGGGAACCGCCCGGGGCGTGCCCCACTGCCCGGCCCTTTAAGCAAACAGAGTAAGAACCCTTCTAGGCAGAGCCTAGGTAGGGAAAAACACGATATATAACAACAGTAGTATTGATAGTAATGACAGTACAACTATGAATCATACTAATAATAATGATGAGAATCGTCCCCTGACTATGTCTGGCCCATGTGGGCACACTCCTCCTGTCGAGGGACAGGCCGACTCACGCCAACGACCGACGGGGTCAGCGCGCCGGGCGGCCGCGGGGCGCGACGCTCCTCCGGGCCGATGAGCAGGGCGCCCGCGCCCGCGCCGGCGGTGTCTCGGCGCGGGGCGGCCGCGGGGCTCCCTCCGCCCCTGCTCTGGGGGGGTCCCGCGGGTGGACCAGGCCGGGGGGAGCCCTCGGCCCCGCTCCCCCCTTGCCAAGATTATGTCGGGCCTGTCCCCCTACGGGGGGGCTTTGGAGGATAGACAAAACTCTAGAAAGAATCAAACGATGCCCCAAAATACTCAAGACATAGTCCCCGGACTATTTTTTGACTGCTCTTGAAGATTCCCCTGCAGAGGGACAGGCCCGACTCAAACCAAGCCGGGTGGAGCCCTTGGCCCCGCTCCCCCCTTGCTAAGAAGCAGGGCTGAACCTAAACGGTGTTATTCGTTTTCGTTGTGTTTTCGTTTTCCCTCGCGTTGGTCTCGAATCTGCCTTTGCCGCAGAACGAAGTCGAAACGAAAACGGCCCACGAGATCGCCAAAAACACCGTTGAGGTCTAGCCCTGCTAAGGAGTCTGGGCAGGGGGGAGCGGAGCCGAGGGCTCCACTTCTGTCACCGATGCGCGTCCCGTCACGGCGCGCTCCGCGCGGAGCTCCTGGTAACGACGCGACCGCACCAGCGCTCCGAATGCGAAGGTCTTCATTTCTTTCACGGAGGGGCGCGGGTGGCTTACGAGCCATGACATCGAGGCAAACGCTTGCTTCTTGGGCGTTTGCCAATCAGCACTTTGCGAGTAGTGGAACGCGCTCGGTAAGAGACGAAGCCATGCCGAGGATAAAATCGGGTTCTGGCGGCTCTGGAGAATGTATTGGGCGCCGCGGCCTTCTCAGAGCGTTCTGGAACGCTCTGCGAGTGTTCTGGGACGCTCTGGAACGGATCTATCCTCGACCTCGCCCCAGCCGACCTTCCCCCCCTGTTCAGAGTTGACCCTGGGCATTGGGGAGCGAAGGCTCGAAAGGACAAAAAAGAGGAACCCACAGGGCCTTCAGCAGGCCGGACGCCAACTTTGAGCCTGCGGGGAGGGGGGGTCGAACATGGAACGCACAGAGACATACTAGTACAATATGTCCTCCTTGGAGGCGCGCGTCCGACCCGAACATATAGTAGACCCATATTGTAGTATATAGCTTCCCGAGCGGTGTAGCCAGAAAGCGCCCGCCACGACGTATATACTATAAGATTTCTGGGTGCGCGCGTCGCCCCTAGGAGGGCGACGCACACATGGTACCAGTATGCTGGGGTGACGCCGAGAACACAGGGTCGAACGCGAAAGGGGTTCCACTTGTTTGTCCCCTTCCTGGCCCAAGGTAGGGGAACTGTCTTCGCCGCGGCACGGCAGAGGCAGTCCGCACGGGCGCTCGACTGGTCGGGGGCGCTCGACCAACGGATGGCCTGTCGAGCGGTCAGTGTCCATCGCGGGGTTGTTTCCCTGCCCGTTAGGTCTAGAGAAGGATCTCCTACGCATAGGCCTACCAGCGTCTCGCCCGATAGGCCCTGTAATATCCGACGCATAGGCCGATGGTAGGCCTATGCACAGGCTATGCATAGGCCTACCGTAGGCCGATCGTAGGCCTACCATAGGTCTACCGTAGGCCTATGCGCAGGCGCATGCATGGCCTTTGCACAAGTCTACGCATCGGCCTACGCGGGGTAAGGTTGTTCTCCTGTCCCTTGGTCAGAGCAGGGGAACAAACAACGGCAGAAACATAAGAACTCAGGGGTCCGCACGGATTCCTCGGATCGGCGCTGGGGCACCCTGACGGCGCCTCCGGCGCCGCCCCTGGCGCGTTCCGCGCGCCAGGGAGGGGACTCCAGCGACGATCCGAGAAATCCGCGCGGACCTCCGAGTTATTATGTGAAGAGGCCCCAGGACACACAAATAAATACACACAAATAAAAATATCTCGCATATTTTCCCATATTTTCTGGGTTTCTGTCTCCCCCCCCACTTCCCATAGTTTCCCATATTTTCTGGGGAATCGAGGATTAATTGTGTCTGTGTGTTTTTGTTTCCTCCTGATTATGTTCATGTCAATGCTTGTTCCCTTACCAAAGGGGCCAGGGGCCCAGGGGGCACACAAATGAATAGGCACAACTCCCAGGATTCCCGATACACCTTTAGGCATTTTCTGGATGCACGTCTCCCTCTCGCTCTTGCTGCTGGACAGGTCGCGACGGCGTCACCCGGCGTGCCCGAGCGCGCGTGCGGACTGCCTCTGCCGCGCTGCGACGTAGCAAAAAAAAAAAAACAAAAAAAAAAAAAAAAAAAGGGGGGGGGCGCGCGAGGCAACTATCACCCAACGCCATATGCCGAAAAGCTGGCCATGAGCCAGCTTGGGTCCTTATTTCTTGTCTCCTCCCCTCCTCCTCGCTCAATATCTTCAACCAGCCTGCGTCCGCGCAGGGGTGTGCAGTGTAACTCACGAACATCCTCGCCCTCCTCCTCTGTTTTGTTGTTTCCCCTTTCTCGCGATTCGCCGTCCTGCGCTGACCTTCTTCCCATTCCTCGCTTTTCCTCCCGTCCTCCTTCCCCTCTGCTTCCTCCTCCTCACTAGGAATTCAGGGTCCCTCCTTCGACCTCCTCCTCCCTACCTCCTCCCCCTGCCCCTCCTCTGCCTCCTCCTCCGCCTCCTACTGTCCCCGCCACCGCCGCCGGGGGCCTTCAACCAACCCGCTCTTCCTCCTCCCCCTCCTCCTCCTCCTCTTCCTTCGCTTCCCGAATTTTCCTGGGAGTCGACGCTGAGCTGTGCCCGTGCCCAGGGGGGCCAAGGGAGGCCAACGAGTGAGTAGGCACAACCCTGAAGGGGCCCTGGGACACACAAATAAAAACACACACACACAAATAACAGGATTCCCCATAGTTTCCCATATTTTCTGGGTTTTCGTCTTCCCCCCACTTCCCATAATTTCCAAGATTCTCTGGGGGATCGACGATTAAATGTGTCTGTGTGTGTTTCCCTTCTGAAGCTCTCAGGATCCCCAGCACATCTTCAGGTATGTCTTCTGGATGTTCGCCTCCCCCTTCCGCTCCCCACAGTTTCCTGAGAATCGGTGCCTTTACCTGTGTCTGTGCCCTTGCAGTCCACTCGGGATCGGCAGATGGAGAGACGCAGCCAAAGATGCACGCTCCTGGGCGCGCATGGCAGAAGATGTTTGTTTGACTGCGTGAGCGCTTCGCATCGTGCCCAGACTAGGCTGTCACTGCAAGCGTTCCCCGCCTGCGCCCTCAGTGGCCGCCCTTCGTGGGCATGCGGGCCTGATCTGACCTGACCTGTGCCCTGCTTCCCTGTGCTATCCCCTGCATGGCTTGCGTCCGTGCGCCCGATCGGTGGATATTCTGCCCCCCCGTCCCTAGCCGCGCCAGCCGCCTCGGACTTGGCAGCGCGCCCGTGGGAATGGCAAGTCTTTCTGGAAGCCCTCCTGGCTCAGAAGCCCTTCGCGGGCACTGGCTCAGAAGCCCTTCGCGGGCACGCAGGCCTGACCTGACCTGGCCTGACCTGCGCCCTGCTCCCATGTGCCCTGAATCCGCCCCCTCCCCTAGGGCTCCCAACTTCGCGCTCTCGCGCCGCCCCCCCCAACGGGAGAAAAAGAGGACGACGAGGAGGAGGAGGAGGAGGAGAAGGAACGAGGACCGCGAAGCGCGACTAACTTCGCGCCCTCGTGGGAGCCCTTGCTCCCGATCCTCTGCGCCCGCGCCTGCCCCCCCCATGTTCTTAGAACATGGGGGGGGGGGGGGGAAACGTTCTAAGAACGAAAACAAGGTTCTTAGAACATAAACCCGATGGGATAAAACAAGACAGACTCCGCCGGAAATGTTCTAAGAACGCTTCGTGGAAACCACAAAAGGTTCTTCGAACATTCTTTGGTGGGGCTACAGGCGAGCCAGGACGCTTCGCCACTGCTTGGACCCTCTGCGCCCGCGCTCGCCCCACCCCCCACGGCCCTGCCCTCCCTCGCGCGCCTCCCACCCTGCGCGAGGCGGGTGCGCCCTCCGTCGCCACCGCCCCGGGGCGCTGGGAGATAGCTCTCTTCGGGGGCCCTGGCAGGCCT